ACAGGGCCACCAGGGTTGTGGCTCAGTGGTAGAGCGCTTGCCTAGCATGCATGAGGCACTGGGTTCCATCCCTGGCACCACATTTCAAAAAATAAATAAAATAAAATAAAAGTATTTTAAAAAAAAGGAAGGAATCAGAGAAGACATCATAGAATTTTCTGGAAAGAGAATCAGAGATAATGGGCGTATCTGAAAGGGACCTCACAGAGAGGGTTTTTGTAAATGAAAGAAATTGTGGCAAGCTTGTCTCTTTGCAAATAATTCAGCAGAGATAAGAAATGATGCAGAAGGGGGAGGGGAGGACTGCAGGATCACAGGGCCCCTGGGAGAGAAGAGAGGAAGTGCTCCAAACTGAACCATCTGACACTACAGAAAATTAGCACAACCCGCAAGTTCAAATGTTAGGCCAACGTCCTCATGAGGTCCAGAAGATGATAAAAGCAACAGGTAACTGTATCTTTTAATGCATTAAATTTAAGTTACCCAAGCAGAAGAATGAGAAGTTATACTCCATTTATGTATGATGTGTCAAAATGCATCTACTGTCATATATAACTAATTAGAACAAATTTTAAAAATGACCAAAAAAATTAAGTTACCAAATTCTTTGAGGCTAAGCATCAATTTATGTAAAAACAGTTAACTTGTCTGTGTTTTGCTTCACCCCAGGTGCAGGGCAGAAGCTGTGTTGGCAAAAACATCTTCTGTGTCATCAACATTTAAAACCATTAAAGATTTAAAAACAAAAAGTAGATTACTGCTTGACTGGGCCTGGGGGTAAAAATGGGATGTGAATGCAAATTAGTCAGAAGCTTCTTTATGAAATGATGGACATGTTGTAAAATTAGACTATGTAGTACATTAACAACTCTTTAAATACACTAAAAAACATCGATTTGGACACTTAAGGCAGGCCAATGTTGTAGTATATAAATTACATCTCAATGAAATGTAGAAAAAAGAAAAATTATTCAGAGAAGACACTGGTCCTCTGGGAGGATGCTGCTCCTCCCCTCTCAGAAGCCAGAGTTTGATCTCACTACTGCTGGATCTGGAAATTCCAAAGCCATCTGCAGAAGTCAGGATTCTATGATGTGCCATCTAAGAGCTTCTCAGATAGAACAAGGTCTAGACTCCAGGTATGTTTGGGTGGTAATTTAATCCACAATTCTTTGATCAACAACCTATAAAAATTTGTATCAGCCAGTGAAGAATACTACATCTGGCACTCTTTGATAATAGAAGTAGTCTTCAGAGATGAACAAATGGGGTTCACAGGAAGAAACCAATACTTGCTTGATATTATAGTCCATTCTTTGGTTGCTATAAAAAACTATTAGAGGCCAGGAAATATATAAAGAAAAGATGATTATTTAACAGCCAGTTTGAGAGGTTCAAGGGCATGGTGCCAGCACTGGCTCAGCTCAGCAAATAACTAATGACCGACAGCATTATGGTGGGAATGTGTGTAAGAGGGAAAGATCACACAGGGAGACAGGAAGTCAAAGAGAGAGAAGGGAGTGGCCAGACTTACTCTTTTATAACAGCACTCTTGAGAGAACTAACCAGGGTCCCACTAAAAGTATATCAATTTCTTACTAAGGGAGGGCCCCCAATGACCTAACTGACTCCCATTAGGCCCCACCTCTTTTTTAAAACATTTTTTTAGTTGTCAACTGGACCTTTATTTTGCTTATTTATATGTGGTGCTGAGGATCAAACCTAGTGCCTCACACATGATAGGCAAGCGCTCTACCACAGAGCCACAGCCCCAGCCCCTAGGCCCCACCTCTTAAAGGTCCCATCACCTCTTAATATCACCACACTGGGAACCAGGCTCCCAACCCATGAACCCTTGGAGACTCACTCAAGTCATATCCAAAAAACAGTGCTCATCCAGCAATACTTTCTATGCTCGCCTATTTCATTTACACAGAGATTCCCATTTTCTCCATTAAATCTAGCTCAGTGTTTACATTGGTTTGTTCCTGACTGTCTTGAGGACTCTGAATCTCTGATCCAATCTCCACCCAGGTAGATTATGTGATGATAATCTACCTCTTGGATTATGGGGCCATGCACATGCAGCTCAGAAAGGTCTTCTTTAGAGAACTGCTCTGACCTGGTGCCAGCTCCATCTCAATGCAGGATATCTCTGAACTACTAAGGGAAGAGCTGAATAAACCTTGGCTGGGACTTTTGCTAATCACCCCAACCCCTCAAATTCCACCACTGTGGCTGCCTCTATCAGTACCAAGCCTCAGAAATGTCCTGATGGATAGGATTTTGTGGCCAAATAGATGACAGGTTTGCAAGGTTTCTAGGTGGGCTTTGTCTCCCTCTGGTTCAAGGCTGTAGGTCTTCTGTATGGTCCTTACCCCTCGATGTGTCCTGATCTTCGGGCCATCAATCTTCTCACTTGTTGCCCCTCTCCTGATCACTGGCACCTTAGACCCTTGCCATTAATACAAATGCTTTCTTTCAGGGCTGAGTGGTTAGGAGCAGAGGCTTAAATCTTGGTTCCTTTTCTGTTTCTCTGGGCACCTTGGGAAATCACGCTGGGCACCCCTCTACAATTCAGTGTCTTCTCTGTTGTGAGATTAAATGGCTAATACAAAGTAGAGAGTTTTACCTGGCAGTAAGCTCACAGTCATCCAGGTCATCCTTAATTCTTCCCCTGGTCAGTGAATTGCATCATCTTGCTGCAATGCCTTTGGGGATCTTCCAGTTTGGGGCACTTTATAGCTTCCTACAGCATTTTTTGTGACTCAGGGATTACCATTTTACTATCAGGGACCTTACTCCCTTATTTTTATGCTGTTACTGAAGTTCAAGATCGCTGGGCTATCAACTCTGGATAAGAAATTTGCTTTCTATAAGCTATTTGCACTTAATTCCAACACAAGCTGATTTCTCTGATACTAGAGCAACCTGATCTCCTGTCACCATTTCTTCACTCCAGTTTGTCCCCAGTCCTCCTTGCTTCCATGTCTCCAGCCCACCCCTACCCCCAGAAGCAAAAAGAGGATCTGTGTAGCAGGCTTTCCCATTTGTCCGTGCAAAACCCTTGTCCTCTACAGGGACTCATTTCCCTTCCTGGCCCTAATTCTTTGCCCTTTTAAGCTGGAGCTATTGTTACTTCTAATTTGCATTGAATGGTCCCTTAACAGCCATCACATACTGAATGTGATGCCAGCTTCCTTCTAATACTGCTAAATGTACCAGAATCTGAGCTCTTCCTGAACACAAACTTAATATGTGATAAACAAATGTAAACAGCGTTCACCACATCCACAAACACAAAGATCCTCCTTTGCCAAAAAATTACATCATCGCCACATTGACTAGAATGCACATTTTAATGAAGTCTACATTTTCCTTGCCATCAATAAAAGTAATCCCAAGGATGTATTCCCCTTAAAACATTTTTGGGTCCAAAACAGTTTCACTGCTCTTATAAGGTTGGGGGAGGCAGTATACAAATGGCCAACAGGTATATGAAAAAGTGCTCAATTTGTCAGGGAAATGCAAATCAAAACCACAATGAGATATCACCCCACTCCAGGAAGAAAGGTTATAATTAAAGAGATAAAAGATAGCAAGTAATGGCAAGAATGATGAGAAAAGGGAACTTTTGTATACCGTTGGTGGGAATGCAAATGAATGTAACCATTATAGAAAACAGTATGGGGGTTCCTCAAAAAATTAAAAATAGAACTACTATATGATCCAGCAATCCCAATACTGGGTATATATACCCAAAAGAAATGAAATTAAAATGTCAAAGAAACATCTGCACTCACGTGTGTCCTATACCACTACTCACAATAGCCAAGAAATAGAAACAACTTAAGTATCTATCAACTTATAGATGCATAAAGAAAATGTAGTATACATACACAATGGAATACCATTCAGCTATTAAAAAAGAATGAAATCCTATCATGTGAGACAAGATGGATGAAACTAGAGATCATTTTGTTAAGTGAGTAAGCCAAGACAGAAAGACAAGTACTATACTCATATGTGAAATTTTTTTAAAAAGTCAATCTCATATTAGTTGGGAGTAGAATGGTGGGTACCAAAGGCTAAGGAGTGGGAGTGGGAGAGGTTGACCAAAGGATACTAATTAGTCACGGCTGATTCCAAAAAGCTAGAAGAAGGATTTTAAAAGTTTTTACTACAAATAAAGAAGTATTTGAGGAGATCTGATTTAAATATTACACAATGTATACAGCTATCGAAATATCACATGGTATCCCATTAATATGTACAATTTTATGTCTTTTTTTTTTTTAAGAGAGAGAGACAGAGAGAGACAGAGAATTTTTTTAATATTTATTTTTTAGTTTTCGGCAGACACAACATCTTTGTTGGTATGTGGTGCTGAGGATCGAACCCGGGCCACACGCATGCCAGGTGAGCGCGCTACCGCTTGAGCCACATCCCCAGCCCCAATTTTATGTCTTTATGTATCAACTAAAAATAAATTTCGAGTGGTAAGATGCTCCCCACCTGCTGGGGGCGCTCCGACAGCTGCAGAAGCGCTTGCACCTTGCTGCCCAATGAGATGATCCCATCGAGTACCGTTCATTTTACTTTAAAACATTCTTGTCAGTTTTCTGCTTTCTTGCCATTTTCGAAAGTATCCCAGATCCGTTAACCATTCTGTCGCTTTTCAGCTGCAGCTCCTTTCTCCACTTGCCAAAAGCAGAACTCCATTCCTCTCTTCTGAGTATCATTTCCTCCCATGTATTTGGCCATTAATAACTTCCTCATCACCCAGACTCTGCATCTACAGTAACTTTTGGCAGTATTTGAAGAGCCCCCTATGTCTCTGACACTACCTGAAGTCAAAATTAAAGCACTCTTTTAACCATTAAAAATGTTTCATTAAAACTTTTAAAAGAATAAGAGAAAGATCTTAAATAATAGACAATATTTAAATAAGTAGATTATTCATAATAATTATATATAAAGTTGTAGTTGGACACAACACCTTTATTTTATTCATTTATTTTTATGTGGGTCTCGCAAGTGGGAGGCGAGCGCTCTACCACTGAGCCACAACCCCAGCCCCATAATAATAATTTTAAAAACACATTTATTTTGACTTTACCTTTCCCATAAGGATATAAACAGTGGTGTGCTAGTATATTAGCTCCCTGGGAGAAAAAAAGTAAAGATGTATTTTGCGGTGATTGTCTATATGGATGGTGGAAACACTCCCATGGTGGCTAATTTCAAGCTATCAACTGTTCAAGAAGGGCCTCACAACATTCCATGATATTCAGCAGGTGCAAGCAAGCGTTCTAGCACATCACTGAAAGTCAATCTAAAAATAGGTATGGAATATGCACCAAGTTAACATAAATGAAGAGTAGGAAGAAAGAAGGAAAGAAATAAGTCTAGAGGTACAAAATGAAGCCCGGGATTTGTAAATACAAACATGCATACGGTAAAGCCCTGGGTACATACTGAACACATTTGGCTTTAAGCAGTCTGGGGTTGTAGCTCAGTGGTAGCGTGCTCGCCTAGGTCACTGGGTTCGATCCTCAGCACCACATAAATGTAAAATAAAGATATTGTGTCCACCTAAAATTAAAAAAAAAAAAGAAAGAAACAAACTGCTAGCACTGAAAGGAGAAGCTTACCTGGTTTACATGTTCTTAAGATAAAAATAAATTGCATGCTGAAAAGGACCAGTTTCCTGTTTTTCAAGTAGGTTGCATTTCTCCTCTAAAGGGTTCTGTAAAGCAGAGTGTGTCACAAAGTGCATGTCTTCAGCAACATCAGTCTGGTGGTCTGACCTAGGAACTGCAATGAGGTAAAAGCAACCCTACAGGCCAGGGGGCCCAGTCTGTGTCTAGGGACCAGCATTCCCAGCCAACTCCTGTGAACATGTGCCACAGCCTTGGGGCAATCTTCCAGGCTTTTGCTAAACATCAGACTGTGGTGAATTTGAAAGTGCCCTCTCACCCAAAACAGTTACTGGCCATAAACTCTGACCCATATGTTCGGACAATCAGGGCACAGGAAAAGAGGATATTCCCTTTGGAAAACAGAGGCATCTACTAGGAGTCCCATATGAAGCTAGGGCTCCTCGACTTCAAAGTGAGCAATTCCCGGTGCAATATTCAAAGTGTGTAAGGAAATGCAAATGTTAAATACGCAGGCTCCAATCTACCCTGGCAAGACAGTTTTATAGGTCCAGAAGGAGAGGATGGGAGTGAGAGCTGTGCAGTGAACTGAGAATTTTCTCAGCTTTCTCAACTTCCTTCCTAAAGGTCCATAAAAAGGAAAAGGTCACCTTTTCCTTTTGGAATTTGGTGGAAAGTTTTAATTTAAAACATACGCTTCTAATGGAAGTATAATATACATACAGAAAAGTTCAGAAATCATGATGAAAAGAGAACCAGGACTTCAGCACTAGATCAAGAGGCAGAACACCACTTGCCCCCACCACCCTCTTACACTTCCTTCCCCTCTCGGTTTCATGACCCCGGGCATCACTGGTTCCTCTTACCTGTTTTGGACCTTGTATTAATGGACACATATGATAAGCGCTGTTTTCGTTTCTGGTTACTCTCACTCATCATGATGTTTGTGAGGTTCATCCACCTGGTTGCAAAGAGGCATAGACAGTTCATTCTTGGTATTCCATTGTTTGAATATATCCCTATATGTCCATTTTTCTTTTGATGAGAATTTGGGTTGCCTGTTAGTTTTTTTTTAGCTATGAATAGAACTTTTATAAACATCCTAGCACATGTTTTTTGGTGGACACAGTGATCATTCCTGAGTTTATACGCCGAGGAAATTACTGAATCATATTATATTGCTTTAATAAATACTGCCATAAACTATACCAGAGTACTTGTGCCAAAAAGGTAAAGTTTTACTCACTTGAATAAGCGAAAAGCAGGCAGGCATGGTTGTGCACGCCTGTAATCCCAGCAACCCAAGAGTCTGAGGCAGGAGGATTGCAAGTTTGAGGCCAGCCTGGGCAACTTAGCCAGATCCTGTCTCAAAATAAAAAGAACAGGATGTGTAGCTCAGTGATTAACACCCCTGGGTTCAATCCCCAGTACTTCGCTAAATAAAAGAGTAAGCAAAAATCTTTAAAGTGTAGATGACCCAAGTTGAAGAAGTTGTGAGAGATTTGGAACACTAACATAGTTTGTAACACAACTCTATGCAATCTGCTATCACTGGTATTATGAAATAAACAGATTTAATAATTCAAAGCACAAATTTGAAGTTAATCATTAGTCCAAGATGCAGAGGAATAAACATTCATTCACTAATGAAACAAGAATAAGCCATTCAGGATGTATATAGTAATGAAAGGATTTGTTTCTTATTAGAAGCGTTCTATTAAGATAAGAAACAAGGTAGGGATGATTTCTATCTTGCCAACATTGTCTTTCAGATAGTTGCCAAGGCTTATAGACAGGGAAAGGCATTTAGAGAACTGCAAGAGTTAGAGAAGTGCAAAAGAGGAAGTAACGGATTTTTTCTTGCAGACAGCATGAGAGTTTACCTGCAAAAACCTAGAGAAGCAACAGAACTAACTCAATAATATAACTCGGCAAGGTAAAAGAAGACAAAATTAACCTTTAGAAACCATATTCTTCATATATGCCATCAACAACCAGTTACAAACATAATGCTAGAGCAAGTCCCATTTACAAACAGCAATAAGAAATGAAGACAATATGTAGGAATAAGCAATAAGAAACGCACAAAATCTAAATGAGAAAAACTTCGAACTCCGGATGACAGAAAAGTAGATTTGAACCAAGGCAAAAGCAACTCTTGTTCTTGGGTAGGAATGCTGCTTCATAAAGCCATCAGTTCTCCTCAAATTAATTTATAAAGGTAATGAAATGTCAACAGAATTGCCAAAAAGCATTTTTTATCAAGCTAGGTAAGTTGAAACTGAAATTTATACAAGCAGTCACAAAAGATTACATACTGCATGGATATATTTATGTGAAATCTCCAAAATGGGCAAATTTATAGAGACAGATTGATTAGTGATTGCTTATAACAGGGAGGAGGATAGAGCAAGGAACAGGGACTGACTGATAATGGGTACAAGGTTTCTTTTAGGAGAGAGAAAAATGTTCTAAAATTTGATGGCAGTGATGGCTTCAACACCTGGTGAATATGCTAAAAAAATTGATTTGCATACTTTAAAAGGGTTCAATACAAGATATGTAAATTATAATCCAAATAAAATTTACATGATAAATAAATGTGCAGAAATTGAAAAGCAATAAAAAATACAAGGCAGGACTAACCCTACCATATATTAAAACATATATTGCAGTCTTATAATAAAACAATGAGGTAGTGGTGAGTGACTATGAAGACTGGTGGAATAGAATAAAAAGCTCAAAATAGATGCCAACCCTGGAGAATTTTGAAATACGATAAAGGTCTCTTCTCATATCGTTGGGACAAAGATGGATTTTTTAATGAATAGTGCTGAGATAACTGATCAACTATTTGTAAAAAGATAAAATTAGGTACATACCTCCTGCTTTATAAAATTCCAGATGTGTTAGGAAAAATGTTCCAAAATTTTACAAAATCTTCATAAGCACTAAAAGGAAACATGGGTCAATTTTTCTTTAATTTGGGTGTGAAGAATAGGCTTTCTGTGACACAAAATCCAGAAACAATACAAGAAAATAGTGACATATTTACCTTTATAAAAATAGCTGAGCATAGTGGCTCACACCTATAATCCCCACAGTTCTGGAGGCTGAGGCAGGAGGATGACAAGTTCAGGGTCAGCCTGGGCAAATTAATGAGATCTTGTCTCAAAAAAATAAAAAAGAACAGGATGTGTAGCTCAGTGGTCTAGTGTCCCTTGTTTCTGTCACCAGTACCACAAAACAAAAACAAACCAATGTTTGCATGTCAAAGAAATGTCATAAACAAAGTCAAAAGAGAACTAACGTGGTAATGGGTAGAATAATATGTATAAGACCAAATATTCTGCAACTAACAGCTGTAAAGTCTGGACAAAATATTTTTTAAGACTATCTAAAACTAACAATCTAAAGCACAGAAAAGGGGTCTACAGCAGGCAGACACTTCTACACTTGAAAGAAGTGATCCACACTAATGAATTTTCTGTCTTCACAGATTCTCACCTGAGGGCTTCTTGATCCCACTTGGCACCGCCCAGATTCTAGAAGTCAGATAGAAACCTGCAGTCTTACTGGCTTGGGAAATCAAAGGATGAAGTTCAGAGCTATTGCCACAGCCGAGCAGTGAGGAAAGAAATCATGAAAAGAGAGCCAAGGAGAAGGAACTCCAAATTCAGAATCTAAACCGTAAATTTCTCAATGCCTTTGAAGTATGAATGTATGAGACAACCCACTTAGGGTTGGAAGAGTTCAAAGAGACATCAGCTGTTGTTCACCACAGCTAAGACAGGCTATGGAATTTGAATTCAACCAAGTTAATTGTCTGCTAAGACAGAAATTTAGATTGAAATCTCTTCAGAGGAATTCTAATAGAAACCATAGCTTACACAACGTGTTATTCACAAGTTCAGAATACAGTAAAAATCACTGGACACACACAAGTGTATGTGTACATACATACAATCACACACACACACACACACACACACACACACACAAACACACACACACAGAAATGTTAACCCATATGCAAAAGAAAAAGGTAGTCAGTGGAACCTGGTCATAATAGAACCCACATAGTGGACTTAGTACTCAAAGATATTTAAAGCATCAAAAACTGTTCAAGGGTGTAGAGGAAAAGAAGCCCCTAACGAATGGATAGATAGATCTCTGCAGAGAAATAGAAAGAATAAAAAGAAATCAAGCTCACCAGGCACAGTAGTGCACACCTGTAATCCCAGTATCAAGGAGGCTGATGCAGGAATATTGCAAGTTCAAAGACAGGCTGAGCAACTTAGCAATACCCTGTGTCAAAATAAAAATAAAAAGAGCTGGAGGTGGGGCCTGGGCTATGATTCAGTGATAGGACACTTGCCTGGCATGTGTGAGGCACTGGGTTCGATTCTCAGCACTGCTTTATGAATAAATAAAATAAAGGTCTATCAATATCTACAAAAATATATTTTTAAAAAAGGACTGGGGTGTAACTTAGTGGGAAAGCACCTCTGGGTTCAAGCCCCCCCCCCAAAAAATATATTTTTAAAATATTTATTTTTTAGTTCTAGTTGGACACAATCTCTCTCTCTCTCTCTCTCTCTCTCTCTCTCTCTCTCTCTCTCTCTCTCTCTCTTTCTTTCTTTATTTTTATGTGGTGCTGAGGATCAAACCCAGGGCCTCACATGTGCTAGGCAAGCACTCTACCACTGAGCAACAACCCCAGGTCCCCCAAAAAAGATATTTTCAGACAAATAGAAATTAAGTGAATTCAGTGTCAACTATAAGAAATACTAAGAAATTAAATAACAAAGACCCAAAATCAATGAAATGGAAAAGTCAAACAATATACAACAGAGGCAAAAGTTGGTTCTTTAAAAATATCAGTAAAATGATAAACTTCCACTGGGATGTAGCAAGAATACAGGGAATAGAATAGAGCCTTGCAGACATCTAAAGAATAATAAGGCAATATTATGAATATCTTTATGTCAATAAATTTGACAATTTAGATGAAATAGAATAATTCCTGAAAAAATAAAACTGACATAAGATGAAAAAAAGTAACTAGCCCTATCCTTACTAAAAAAAAAAAGTATTATCAAAAACTGTTTCACAAAGAAAATTCCACACTCAGATGGTAAATTCTATTAAACATTTAAGGAAGAAATAACATCAACTTTGAATAAACTCTTGTTTAAAACAGAAGAAAGGGAAGTTTCTCTCAAGGGCTTTATGAGGTCTATACAACTTTAATACCCCAAACCAAACAAGGACATTACAATGAGAGAAAATTACAGAATGTCCCTCATAAAGCTAAGTACAAAATCCTCAACAAACTACTAGCAAGTTGAATGCAAAAATATGTACAAATGATACCATGAACAAAATGAATCTTATCACAAGAATACAACATTGATTTAAAATATTAAGATCATCATTGTAATCTACTGTATCAATAAAATAAAGAGGAAAGCAAAAATGTAACCATTTTGTAAACAGAAACAATTGCAGAGTTCAACTTCCATTTATGATAATAGTGGAATACCAAACACTTTTCCTCTTTTATCACCACAAACAAGTCAAAAACGATTACTTGCATTACTTCTGTTCAATATCCAGTAAGTAAAACAAAACAAGAAAAACAAAAGGCATGAAAATTTTTTAAATGAAGAGTTAAAACTCTGTGTAAAAATGGCATCATTGTTTAGGTAGAGAATCCGGAAGAGCTTCCATGAAAACCACTAGAATTAATAAATGAACTTGGCAAGGTCACAGGATGTAAGGTCAACATGCAAAAATCAATTACATTTCTATTTATTACCAGAAAAAAATAGCATATGAAGTTTTAAAAATATTTCTATTTATACTGATGTCTAAAACATTAAATGATTAGGAATAAAGTTAACAAAAGATGTTTATGATCTCTCCAGAGAAAACCACAAATTTAGAAACCTAAATAAATGAAAACTCAATATTTTAAAAATTTACATTCTCCCTAAATTGATCTCCCTAAATTGAGTCAATGGCATCCTCATCACAGTTCCAGCACGTTTTTAGAGAAATTGACAAACTGATTCTGAAATTTACATGGAAATGCAATGGACCTAGAATCTCCAAAACAATATTGACAAAAATCGAACTAAATAGGAGAACTTATGAGACCTGAACTTCAAGACTCCATTAGTTAAACTAGTACAGTGCTTGCAAAAGATTACACAAATGCATTAATGAAGCAGAATAGAGAGCCTAGAAATAGCAAACACTTAACAAGCTCACTTAACAACTGACAAAGCTACCAAAGCAATCTAATGGGAAAAGCAAACTCTTCTCAGCAAATGACACTAGCACAAGTAGCTAGCCATACGGGAAAAAAAAAAATCTCAATTTCTATCTCAAACCATGCACAAAAAAATAATTCCAGATAAATGATAGGCTTTTAGACACAATGCAGCTAAAACTATAACTCTTTTAGGGAAAAAAAAAATCTTTGCAACCTAAGAATGGACAAACATTTCTTAGGCTACAAAGAGCAATAACAGAAGGATCAGGTGGAAAAGGAGAGGGGAGGAGGGGAAGGAGGAGGCGTGGGAAGAGGGGGAAGGCAGGGAGGAAGAGGAAGAAAAAGTAAAAGGTTGCTAAATTAACATCATAAAAGGTGAAAAATTCTCATCAAAAGATACCATTAAGGGGCTAGGGTTGTGGCCCAGTGGTAGAGTGCTTGCCTAGCACATATGAGGCACTGGGCTCCATCCTCAGCACCACATAAAAATAAAAAATAAAGATATGTATCTACTTACAATTTAAATATATATATTTAGATATACCATTAAGGAAATGCATAAGAAATCCATAAGAGTAAAAATATTCACAAAACATAGTTCACAACAGATTAATATCCAGAATATGTAAAGAATATATATGCACAGTTCAATAAGAAAAACACAAGGAAACTAATTTGTTTTTAATGAACTGAAGACTTAATAGATACTTCAGAGAGGAACACGAAGCAGTGACTGGTAAGCACGTGAAAGTGTTCAACATCATTTGTCAGCAGAGAAAATGAAAATTAAAACCACGAGTTACTAATACATACTCACTAGAATGGCAGGAGAGAGCACAATAAGTGTACCTAAGGGACATGGGCCCATTTTCTATTCGCTAAGCTTTTGAAGTGCTGTGAGCCCAACTCTTTCAGACTCCAGGGATAGAACAAGAGATGACACAGTCCTTGCCCTAGAGGAGTTCATGACTAAGTGTCTGTCCTCAGGGCCAGCACAAATCCATACCATGCCTTTGTACAAATTATAAAGAGGAATCCCTCTGCATAGACCTACACCAGTCCCTAGGAGTATGACTTGGGTACAGAACATACTAGCTGGAGTTCAGCCCCCACCCACCCTTGGGCTTCATGCAGAGCAGAAAGTACAGTTGTACACAGTAGTCCTCATGGTGTTTGCCTTACCACATTATTTAAACAGGAGTTCTGGAGGCTCTGAAACTATGGACCAAACCCCAGATTCTTCCAAACCAATATACACTTGGACAGGCCCCATATTTGCAACACTGCCCTCTATTCATCAGCAAGTGAAGCCTGAAACCAGATGAACTATTCACAGAACAGCAGCATGTGAGCCCAGGGTAAGACCTTCTAAAAATCCCAGTATTCACAATATCCACATGATAGGGCTTCCGGTCCCCAGGGCCTTGACCAACAGGCTGGACCCAAGAACCAAAGTCTCAGCCCAACATCATTCTGTATTCCAAATGGATGATTCCAGGACTGCCCACAAACCTCTGAGCCTCGCAATCTGAAGGGATGGCTACTCCCTTCGAGGTGAACCTTCTAGCTGAGCTGGTTCCCAGCCCTGACCTGCCCTTCCCAGTCCCTACCCTGTCCTCCCTGGTGCATCCTGCTACCAAGCACACATTACCCCTGCACATATTCCAAATGGATCCATACAGATGAGATTCTCACCTTATTAACATAGACATGCAGCAAGGTTTTTCAGGGCAAAAACTGTCTGGTTCACTCATCTTGTGCCATCACCAAAAACAGTGGGTTCAGCAAATGGCCCTTTCAATTTCCTCATTCCTTCTTTTAGGTAGAAGTGAGTGCAAATACGGAGCGGTGGTAAGCAGTTGACGGAAATTACTGAAAAGGTGACAACACCATCTAAAGTACATAGCACTTACCCTGTTATAAAAAGAACCTGGGCCACCTTGGCCTGGTTTTCCCTGTGAGAGAGGACAAAGCCACAAAATTTCCACTTCTCAGCTCCAAGACCTGGCAAGATGCAAGCACTGGGTCTCACAGGCATTGGGCAGGTCCTCAGGCCATTGAGCCTGGCAGAGAAATGGCAAAGATGGTCTCCTGGGGTGGGTTTCATCCTTACCAGCCGAGCTGCCCATTCTCCCACCCTAGACAGTTTCATTCATATACCGAGAATTATGTTTGTTCTGTGTGGCATATCACCAAGCCACAGCTCTGCAAGGGGAACTCAAAAACCACATACAATAGACTAATGCCCCTCAATGAATGACAAGGCATTTTACAGAGGTCATGTCCCCCACTTAGCTCAGCAGACAAACCCAATAAATTCCTTTTAATGTTCAAGCTTGTGCCTCGGATGGGATTTTCTATAATCTACAATCAGAGACATCTCAGCTAAAAATCACATATCCTCTGATGTATTCGACAATAATCCATTGGAAACTAAAAACATCTCACATAGCAAGTTTTAGAAATCCAGAGTTTGAAATGATTAATAATCTACACACACTCTATATTTTCATGGAGCAATTAAAATAAGAATTAATTATCCAGAGGAAAAGGTGGATATAACAGAAAACATCAGTGAAATGTAGCTGGAATGCACGTGGTCACAAGGGATGAGCCGCTGGCTTTGGAGCCAGACCACCTTGGATCAGGTCCCTAGCTCCATCACTGATTAGCAGTGGGATCTTGAGCTAATAACCATGGTTGTAATAACAGAACTGTCCTGACCACATTGAGTGTTGTGATCTCTAAGGATTAGCTAGGGTTATCCAATGACATTCTCTTATTCTCAATGGTGTGTCAATCTCCCTTTCATCTTTTAAGACCTCCACAATTTCTCCATGTTTCCTTAGTTCTCTAGGGAAATGTGGAGGCCCATGCCAGCACCCATGAAGCATGTCCCCTCTCTCTCCTGCTGCATCAAGTC